GGTTTTCCATCTGGGCTCAGGTTGCTCAGTGCTCTCCCAAGGTCTGAGTAAAGGTCAGCAGCTTGTCCAGGCACAGTCAGTAATGGTTCTCATCTCTTTACAGTTGTGCTTGCTGTGGGCAGGAAGACCCTTCAAACTTCATCCCCCTTTTATCTTTGGCTTTAAACCAATACAAGGCTGTTACACTTATTTTATTGGAATGGTCAGATAAAACTAGACCTAATCCAGCCCTGAAGGGGCATTGTTGCAATATGAGTACATGAAAGGCACTGCAATTAGTCTGCTGAATTATGGGGACAATATGGAATTTTAGTGATTTTGAACACTTCAGAAGCAACATTGTTCAATTTTTCTCTGAAGAGCTTTGGTTTCTGAACCCAAGTGCCTTTTCTTGCACACTGAAAGTCAGAAGGCTGCTGGCTATTGAGGTTTGCTTCTTGCTGTCTGAATTAGAGAAAAGTGCAGGAACTTTGAGACATTTCAGTTAAGAAACCAAACAGATTTGTTTTAGTTTAAATATGAAGTTTATTTTTGCTTATGTTTGTTTAAATATGAGGTTGAAGATATGGATTTGAACATATAGTGTTCAGCAGTGCTCTTGTTTTTACAGTGCTGTATTTTTGGTGTCACAGACTTGTTTGGCACACAGCTTTCTCTTTGCCTTTTTCTTTTCAATTGTCTTCAAATGTCAGGAGAGTGGCAGGGAGGTCCAAAGCCACCTGCAGCAGCAGAGCTCTTCCTGTGGACACAGCAGACTTTGAATTCAGTGCTGACACCAGGAGAGGTGGTCCCTGACCTTCCCAAGCTCAGGTAGCTGCAGCAAAATATGACCCTTTCTGTATTCAGCCCTGAGAATTACACACATGGAAAGACAGAGTAAACCCATATGCAAGCCTCTGTTTTCTTTAGTTCAGGCAGTTGTCTTTGAAGAAAATGTTTTCTCCTAGAAGAGTGGAAATTACTCCCTTTGTTAGTGAAAATAACCATCGAAGACATAGCTATTCAGTAATCTCTCTAATCTCCATCAGTCTCTTGAGATTTCACTGAAGAAAACAAGGTATTAAACACAAAAATTATATTATTTTTCATTTAAAACTAAGTATCTGTGAATGTCAATTTGGACTTTTTAGCCAACTTTTTCTCTAGTAAATATTTTATTAATCTGTATTTGTAGTCATTTGGGTTTTGTTTTATTAATTTAGAATCTGTGAAGAGCATCTGTTACTCTGTGTCCACAGTATCATCTCAGCTCCATTTGGTGAACATTTCTGCTGGCTTAAGGTTGTCTTTAAAGCTGACAGGCAGCAGTTAGGACAACACTTGTAATTGAATTTGCAATCCAGAGGCGGTTTCCTGCTAGTCTGTCAAACAGAAGCTAAAGGAGGCTAGAGGAGGAAAAAAAACCAAAAACATTCACTTTCTCTGCTGTGCCGTAAAGGGATATCCTGCTCAAGCTGCTGCCTGGCAGAAAGGTGCCCAGAGCTCTCAGTGCTGAGTCTAGCAGGGACCTGGTTCGTGACTTACTGACTGGTACTGGCTGGTTGCCTCTACTTGCTGGGGCAAAACCAGCTGTGCCAGGCACTGCTCAGACTTCAAACAAGAGGACCAAGTTTGCTCTGAAGAGCACTGTGATATGCAACACTTTAACCTTGCAAGTTTTTGGAGCAGCACTGCCTCTTTTGGGGAATTTTCTGCCACCTTAGTTAGAAAGGGTTATTTGACACAACTGAAAAAAACCTCGGAGGCTGGAGACTTCAGCTCACTAAGTCAGCCTGATGTTTGTTGATGAAGAGTGTGTCAGGGAGAAACTCAAGAAATGTTGTGCACTGGGACTCAGAGAGCTGCACTGACGAAAGGCTGTGGAGAGCAGTCAGATTCAGAGCCTCTTGCATGGTTTGAAACTCAGCCTCCTTGCACTGCTGTGGGGAGTTTGCTATTCTCTGACGAACTGACCTCAGTTCTTAAACTATGGACAGTTAAAACTGCATTGTTAGTGCTGTGGATTGCTTGAGTCAAGTGGAGCTGAATGCCTTCTCTGTACTTGTTCAAGCAGCAGAACTCAAGTCAGGCAGACATCCATGTTCATCCAGGAGCCTTGAGAATGCTTAGGGGTGATCAAGGCACCCCTGCTGAAACAAGGGCCAGGCTGTGAGCTGTCTGAAAGCAGGTATTAGTGCATTTGGGATTGTGGCAGCAGTGATTTTACAGTCATCCCCCATGAAGGAAGCCCCTCTGAGGTGTCTGAGACCTTTCACACGTCTCACTGTGAATCAGCCCTTGTTGCCCAAGGTATATAGAGAATTAGTTCCCTTTCAGACTCAATTGTGCAGTGGATTGGTGATAAATCATATATTAGAGAATGAGTTTCAAAGGAGAGGTGTGAGGTGAAGGAAGGCATTTGAGATGAGGGTAGTGCCACCCCCTGAGCAGTGCTGAATCCAACTGACAGCTGAATCAAAGCTGTTGCCAGCTTATCTGAGGGCATCTTTCTTCCTATTGTCTTAATGATGGGATTTTCCCACACTGGAAGAAAGTGCAAATAAAAACTTGGTGCTCTCTTTCTTCTGTGCATTTTCAGTTTGAAATCTCATTTTGTTATGTGAAAGGTGAGGGCAACTTTTCCATTACATCAGCTACCCCCTCATTCCCTGTCATTGATGCTGAGCTATCTCACGCTCATGCAGAGTTTTAGGCTGCCATCAGTGCTCTTGATTTGTGTATCCATCACATCCCAGAACTAGGTTATTCTTCCCAAATGTACTTTATGTGTGTCACATAAATATCAGTTTATGTGTGAAGATATCCCAAAACCTAATTTCCCTTGGCTAAATCAATAACACCAACTTAAAGGATGACTACTTCATGAGTGAACTTTCATTCAATTTGGAGTTTTATTTCAAAGGGTAGGTTTTATAGAGGGCACTAAAGCATAAAATACATGCAAATACAATCCCAGTGTAATGCCATTGACCTAATTCAGATTTCTTCTTCATGTAAAGAGTGCTCAGTCTTCCACCACTTCCCAAATGTCTGTGGTTTGATGGAGCCAAGGCATTAGGATGATGTCTTTAATGATGGATTTATGGGGTGAAGTTTATTGCAGTGGCAGGGAATTGGCACAAGCAAGATAACAGGTAACATATCAGAAAGGAGGCACTTGCCTTGCCAAAGGTGAACTGATGAGCACTGACATGTAGACGGAAAGAAGAGCAAATCCTGGAGCTAGTACTTGAGCTAAGAAAACACATGCTACAGTCACAGAAGGCATTTATAATCGTTAATTTTCAGAAGAAATTTCGTCACTTGATTACTGACAAATGGTAATTTTCTGGTAATGACAAATTGCAGATGAATTCCCCAGAATCTTGAAACACTTAGCTGGAGTGGGAAAAATGCCCTTGTTAATCTCTTTAGCATGTAATTCTTCCTGTTTAGAAATTCAGAGTCCCACAGGATCAGCTTTATGACCTGTGATGTTCACAGCAACTCCAAAGAAGCAATTCAGGCACACAGTGGCCTCTGTGTTGGTTATTTCTTGGGTGGAGGAGCTCAAGGAGGGCATGGCCAGCCACAGAGGTGTCTGAGGAGTGGTGCTCCATGACAGCCAGGTGCCCAGAGGGGAGCACAGAATTCATTCTGTTGCTCTAATCTAGCTGCTCGGATGTGCAGGAGCTTTTTGTTTATTTAAAAGGGCAAAAAGGAAGTAGAAATAAAGAAAGATAATCAAAGGCATAGAAGGAGTTTGGCATGAGGAGAGGAAGTGAACAGAATGGCATTCTTCAGCTCCAAAAGAGATGTCAGACAGGAGAGATGATAATAGGTCTATAAAATCACTAAGAAGATGGAAAAGGTGACCAGATTGTGATTATTGACTGTTTCTCACAGTAGGTGAATTGAGGGGCATCAAAGGAAATCATCAGGTAGCAAATTTAAATGAGCAAGAAACCCTTTGTTCAGATGAAAAACAGAGAGGTTGAGGACCTGAATTCCACTGAGTATTGTGGAGTTAGAAATGAGATCAAGGATTCATAAGATTTATTATGAAAATAGATCTCTCAAATGTTATTTTAAAAACGAGGTCTGGATGCAAATTCTTGCTTTGGAATTTCCTAAGGTGTAATGCTTACAGCTGCCCCATTTTGTACCCATTTTGTATCATGGCCCTAAACTTCTGGTACTTGCCAAAGACATGAGACAGGACTAGATGAACCCACGATGCTCTAACTAGATCTGGTGCACCACGTGTTTTCCTGTACACACAGGTTGTGGTATTCCAAAATATGTTGCTTCTGGAAGGTTTTGGGTCTGTCCTGACGTGGGGCTGAGCTTTACAGATCAAGGGATGAAGTTTGGATCTCAGTGCATGTGAAAAATATTTGAGTGATGTCTTGCAGAGAGCACTTTCTGTTTGCAGTGAGATTGTCTACATCCGGCCATGTTCTAGTTCTGGCCATCAGATCCAGAACTTTGCTTCCATGGCAAAAGTGGCTATTTTTCTGTTATTATTTTAATTACTGGAATTATTTAAATTACTGTAAGAATCTTGCTTTTGAATCTTCATAACTGTAATGCTTTCATATTTCAAAATTTTTTCTCTTTAAAATTTGCTCTTTTCAACCCTATGTGAGTGATTTCAACACCCCCCCCCCCAAACTGGCAGGCATGGATTGGTCAGCTGAAACACAGCAGAGTGGTGACTGCCTTTCCTACACCCCCAAATTGCAATTAATGCTAGAAAAATAGGAGTTGGGCTGCATTCACTGCGTCATCTGTGGAACACAGCAAAGCTGCTGCTGTTCCAGGAGGAGGGTGTCATACCCTGGAGCTGTGCTCCCAGGAGCGTTGGCGAATGCTTTCCCTTTCACCTGGAAGCAGTAACTTCTCTTCCAAGCAGCTTTAGGCAGTGGGCTGAATACATGCAGGACCTGCATCGTCTCTGCTGCCTCTTTGGAGCCCAATCTGTCCAGGTAACAGTCTCCTTTTTGGTTTCATTTTTCTAGGGATATCTATGCCTATTCCGGTCATTGGTTTGCAGGATGACTCACGGGTGTTTGTAAATGGGACCTGCGTCCTTAACGACGAGAACTTCGTCCTCATTGGATCCTTCATGGCTTTCTTCATCCCTCTCATCATCATGGTGATCACATATTGCCTGACTGTCCAGGTGCTGCAGAGACAGGCCACGGTGTTCATGTGTGGAGAGGTGCCCAAGCAGAGAAGGAGCAGCGTGAACTGCCTCAAGAAGGAAAACAACACAGAGAACATTTCAATGCTTCACAATCACGAGGGGGCATCCCACTTGAACTCTCCTGTAAATAAGGAGGCTGTGCTTTTCCGGAAAGGAACGATGCAGTCCATCAACAATGAGCGAAGAGCCTCCAAGGTCCTGGGCATCGTCTTCTTTTTGTTCCTCATCATGTGGTGCCCGTTTTTCATCACTAATGTCATGTCTGTCCTTTGCAAGGAAGCCTGCGATAAAGACCTGTTGAGTGAACTCCTTGACGTGTTTGTGTGGGTGGGGTACGTGTGCTCCGGGGTGAATCCCCTGGTGTACACTCTCTTCAACAAAACCTACCGCAGGGCTTTCTCCAATTACATCCGCTGCCAATACAAGCCTGGTAAAAAATCAGCACTGAGGCAGAATCAGTGTCTGAATGTGGCTTCAACAGCTTTATATGGGAAAGACCTGACTTTAACTAGTTATCGAAATGGCAATGAATTCAATAGCATGGAACTAGATGAAGCTGAGGAGGGCCTTGAGATGCAACCAGGGACCTCAGAGCTCTCCATAAACAGCTGTAATGTTGTAAGTGAACGAGTGAGCTGTGTGTAAAAGTGACTCTCACAGACCTCTGCTATGGTGTATCTGTAGCAAAAATATATTGTGTAAAAATGTAAGTGTCGGTCAAAGGACAATGTAAATATTGCATTCTGAACAAAGCTTTCTTTTTTTTTTTTTTTTTAAGAGAAAAAAAAGTTGTCTTTCCAGTCCAGTACTTAAAATAATATATATTAATATACTGCAGTGAAGTTTAAGGTTCTATATTTACTGTTAATACTAGATCAGAACTATTAGTTACTTTGCATATGTCATGGACAAAATGTTTGAATTCTTCTTCCAGTGCATGAACAAAAATGCTGAATATTTATCTCAGGTGGAATTTGCTGGAGTCCAGAATGGCACGTTAATAGTTATATATCAAATACATGCTATTAGACTTGGTCAGTATAACTTTCTTTTTCAAGTTGACAGTAAATATATACTTTAAATCCTCACCCCTATTTGTGCCGCGTAAAGACTTTACAGAAACCTGGCAGAGACAGTGTAGTGGCCATGCAGGCACCTGGCCAGACATGTCCTGTAATGTGTAGTGGATTCTGCCATACTGGGTCAATCTTGCACTTCAAGGGACCTTTGTTAGATTCTGGCTCCCTCTCCAATCCTGCTGTTTTCTTTCCATTCCTCAGGAGGCTCTGGCTCCCCTAAGAAAGGTAGAGAATGCAGTTTTGCAGTCCTGGCTGGGATCACTTTCAGACTTGGAGAAGAAGCATGAGAAACAGAGTGATCCCCAGTTATCTATGTCAAACATTCAGTAAATGGAAGGCCTAGGATTCATTAAAAGCCCTCCTTTAGTCTTGCAGACACCCATCAGCTCTGGGATGGAGCTGGCTGTGTTCAGTGTGGCCAGTTCTGCCCTACAGATTGCTGGGGGATCAGGGGCTTTGGCCCACCTGAAGAAGAGCACTCTGGGTTTGGAAGAGCCCAAATCTCTGCTCTTCTCACTCCTCACATCTAGTTATTCTTTATCTGTTTTAGCATTTGCTTTTATTTTCCAGCACAGTGCTGGTGGTAGAACACTGCTGTGGGGGCAGAGCAGAAGGTTCTCTGTGTGTGGTGCTGGCCAGGGTCGAGCTGTGAGGAGCAGGATGTGCCTCCCTGAGGAATTCCCTGGGGAATGCTGGAGAGAGGCATAAGATAGGGTCCCTGCTTCTGTCTCAGGAGGGGGTGGGCAGAACTGAATAGAGCATGTGATTGGAATAATTTGCTGGTGACATGGTTCTAAAGCAAATAGGTGACCAGGGACAGCAGGGAAGCAGACCTGGAGCTAGTCTGCATGGAGTATTAATCTGGAGTAACTTTTAAATTTGATTTATTCCATTTTACTCCCAAAATAAATTAGAGTATATCATATTAACACCACTTACATCTTTAATGAAAGCATCCACATTGGGATTGAATGCATTTTAAGTAATCTGCTTTTAATACACACCATGTATAATTTGAATTAATTTTCCTCTGCATTCCTGTGTACACAAACCCTCCAAGGCACTGTGTCTTTCTGGCACTGTGCCTCTGGGGTGATGCCTCTCATGCAGATTTCCTTATGTGGAGTATTGTCTAATGCCAGATATCACCCATAAGGTTTTTATATCTTCATTAACTACTACACAGATGCTGCAGTGCCCATCTAACATGGATGCATTTAGCATCACTGACAGCCTCTGGCTAAGATAATTGTCAGAACAGAGAAGCTTACACTAGGCATGGATAAATCACATTTTATTTACATGATTTGCTTGTACTCTCAGCTTGCTGTGTTCATTCCATTAAAATTAACTTGCAGAAGAACTAGAAAATTCTGCCAGTGCTTGAGGTGGTGTTGTGCTCTTGCACTACTGTGTGCAGCTACAACCTTGCTGAGGCCACTGCTAAAACAAAACATTTGGGCTGTATCTGCTGCTGGGTTGATCCCAGACCAATGCACTGAAGTTGATAATCTTCTTTTCTCCCTCATCCCCTTCTGGGATAAATCCATAGTACTTCCCTGCAGGCAGGTGAGCTATCCCAGTGTAGAGTGCAGCTCACTGCTTGCAGAAGGCAGCTGAGCTACTCCGTGTGCCAGCCTGCAGATACCACCATGGGCTTGAATGCTTGGGAATCCACTTGCCTCTCCAAAAAGGTCAGGTAATCAGTAGGAAAACTACTAGCCAGAGACACAAACTTGCACCTTCGGTGACTGCCCTTTACCCTGAGTCAGATTTTATTATCTCAAACAGTACAGAAAAATCAGAAAAATCACAGTGCATTTTAATTTTTCCCCTTTAATTTATAGCACATCTCTTCCAAACATGTATATGTGTGTATATATATACACGTGTGAGTTTGTACTTATATATATACACACGTGTATATCTTTAAGAACCAATCACAGATTTTGAAAGCATTTAGCAATAAGTTGAATTACAGTAGCTTCTAGCACATGTGTAAGTCGTGTGAATAGCTCATTTTCCACAGCATCCTCGAGCTCAGTGTAAGTGTTCACACAGGCATTGTCTTTGCATAGGAGCCTTCATGTCTCACCCTTGCCAGTTCTGTTGTATGGGCAAAAAGGGAACCTGCTATATTTGGATGTAAATAATGAGAATTGAACAGAGAATTTTCAGAATTTTTATAAGTGTTTTTAAAAAAATTCAGCGCCAGAACTGTAAATATGCCAACCTCAGCTGGACCCGTTCTGATGTCCATCTCTTGTTTGGATGAAGAGCTAAGGGGACTGCCTTACAGCGCCTGCGTTCCTCCCAGCCAGCAGGGGAGAACATTTCTCTGAATGGTTAAATACTGTCATGTACCCAACTTTCTTTGGGTCATTCACATCAGGGTTTTGTGATGCTGCTATTAATTTATTAAAGAAAGTTTGTTGGTTTAATCATTCTTCATTATTTTTTTTTCATGGTCTATCATAAAATAAATAAGTGAACATGCCCTTTCTTTATTTCATCTGTCCCCAGTTAAAATAGGTCCTGGCCAAAAAACCATACCATCAACAAAAAACGAGGATAAGAACCTCTACTTGAAGTATGGCCCACAGCTGCTTAATCACAGAAATTAGTGTCAGCAGATGTCCCAACATTTCCAACCCCAAAACTTATTAAAATCTGAAAGCAGTGATAGACTGTTCTCCATCTTCAAATTGCTCCCTCCAGGAACAACTGTTAAAATTCACATTTTTTAAGCTATGTGAATTTGAAGAACTGATTTAGTTCTCTAAAACTTAACGAAAGCAGGTTGTCCCACAGCTCCTCCTGAGATGTAACCATTAACTGTGGTGGTGCCTCCAGAAGTCCTGCCTGGGGCTGTCTTGTGGGAACACCCGCTGGAAGCTTTGTGAGAGTCCTCAAATCCCAGCTCAGGTATGGTTTTGTTTTACAAACAGTGTCTGTGGTAGTGTTTTGCTTTGATTTGGACTGAAGAAGGGTAGATAATTCCTTGGAAATAGCTGGAGGCTGAGATGTGCTGGCTGCTTTGCTTCCCAAACCAGATGGAGCTGTGCAGGCAGGTTGCCCAAGGGACAGCAGACATGCAGAGGCTCTGCCCCAGCAAACAGACCACCCCCTTTGGAACTGGAGGATCTGCTCCTGGAGGCAGCCCAGGTCAGAGTTGGTGTCTTCCTGAGCGGTAGGGTCTTGCAGTCTTCCCTGCCCGAGGTCAGAAGCAAGGATAACCATGGTGTTCAGGCACAAACCCCTGTGGCTGAGCAGGTTTCTAGACCTGACCTGGCTCGTCTCATCTGTTCCATGTTGCCCCACACAGCCAGGTCTGGGGTGTAGCATCCATGGGATCAGCCGTGGTGGATTTGGGGACCCGTGTGTACCTCAAGGCTGTGCTTTGAGGAGAAGGTCAGCTCCTCCTGTCCTGTGCTTGCTGAAAATAAGAGCAGCTACCCAGAGACTGTGGCATTTGGGAGGTGACACAGTTCAGAGCCAGTGCTGAGCAGTCTCAAGGCATCCCACCTCAGCACGGCTCTTTATTGTCTGAATAACTGTAAGTCTGCAATAGTTTTCATCTGAGTGATAATTTAAAGATGTAAATGCTAAATGTGTGAGTAAGCACTGTGAACAGTGTGGTTCTTGCTGTTTTCTCTGCAGAGACACTCATGTCAATCCTTAGAGCCTTTCTTCTGGAGAGCCCTGTGAAGAGTTTCCTCACTGGTGTGGAGGGTTCCTGGTGCTCTTCCCAGTCAGCATCCAAGGTGTTGGAGCCATGAGGGCCCTGGAGAGACGCAGATTCCAAAGAAGAAACATCTTTCAAGGAAGAAAAGCAATCAGCCCTTCAGAAATACCATTTAACTTTGAGCTACTGAAGGGTGTCTGATTCCGTGGCAGACAAATTGTGCATTCCAAAAGCAGAGCCCATCATGTGATAAAGGAGCAGATGTTTCTTGGATGGCTGTCCTCCCTGTGTCACAGTATCATTAGAACAGCTACATGCCAAGAACTGCACTTGGCTTTGTCTCCATTTCAGGGGCAGAAAAGGAGTCAGAGGCTTTTTCCTAGGAAAAGGCACACAAACGAGCACCAAACCCTTGTGCAGGTGAAACAGAAGGGCAGAGATAAACAGATGTGGGCACACTTCTGTGCACATGAATACACACATCCCAGAGACCACAGAGAGCCACAGATGACATCACACTTTATTCTTCCTTTGACAAAATGAGAGTATCTGAAAAGCTGTGGAGGAAACCTGTGATGGGGGAGATCAAATATACCTGCTGGTGTGATTGTCAGATGGGGGCTGTTCCAGTGATAATGTAGTTAGTGGGGGTGCATGTATAAAAAAAAAAAGCTTTTCTTTTTTTCATTTTTAACTATGAAATTATCTGTTTTGTCTCTCCCTCATTTTTCTGTAAGTCTCAGGTCTTCTGCTTGTTTGCTCTCACACACACTGAAACCTGTGCTCTGAAGCTGTTAGAAAACATCCATGTGATGTGCCATTCCCTCTCAGATGTGCAGGGATGCTGCAATCCCGTAACAACATGGAGATGGAGAGGCTTCAGGTGAGAGATTTTAGATCTATACAAGACAGACAATCAATGCAACAAGGCACACTTGCAGATTAAAGAACCACACCAGAACACCTGTAGTGGTTTCGATTAGCCAATATACTCACTTTTTGCTGTGAGATAGAATTAGGAGCAAAAGCAAGGCAGGGCTAAAACTTAAAGAGTGCAAAGAAAGCTTTATTAAAAACATAAAGGAATAATAAATTCAGAATAAAACCTTTAGACCACCCCTCCCTCCCCTCTCCCACAACCTTTTTTCCTTCTTAACACAGCATACAGAAACACTTCAGTCAGTTACTAACTTAAAAAATAATCTTTTTCAGTTCACTTTAGGGAGAGGAGTCTCCCCTTGTCAGGCTATAGGGATTTCTCCACAAGAAGA